ATTGATTTCATGGCTTGGTATCATCTCCCTGATACCTGTTAATCTCTCTCCACTCCACAGGTGTTAATGGCCCTCTATCCTTTTCAATGATCTTGATGCTTCAGGTTACTGGACTATTCAAACTATCCTTTCTTCTGAAATGTTGGTGTCTAGTAGCCATTCTTGTTAACATCTCTTATTTTATTACAGCCCTGCAGACTGTGTTTAGCTCCACCAGAAAACCGTAACTCAGGTGTGATAATACTAATTCAGGTGTAGAAATGACTGACAGTAAAGTATTGGAGGCACTCAATATGCTCAAGAAAGGTAGATTTTGTTTTATGAACCTGAATAAGAGATGTACATTTAACTATAATGACTACAGGACTAATGAAACAATATCCTTTTACTATTTTTTTGCCTAACTTGTTGCATTTTTTAAACAATTTTTACACATACCTCAACACATTAATTTTCCAATAAGTTTTATTTGTTTTTCGCTTTGATCTTAAAATGAATAATCTAGTACTAGTCCCCTACCATATTAGTAAGGCTTCTAGTTTCTCTTTTAACAGAGGAAAATCTGTTGTCTTGTATGTGATGATGTGCCAGACCATCTACATCCCTCTTTTCAAAATCCTAGATTGCCTATAGCTGAGCCTGCTGTCTCTCACGCATGACAGAGACACTAAGAAAGGACCATCTGTGTGAACAGGCATTCAAAGAATAAAGGAGACCGACGAAACTAACAATGCAGAGAGTTGTACAGTTAACAATGTAAAGCATATTGAGGGAAATGAGAAGAGCAGAGTATGCTGTTACAACGCTGTTCAAGTTGGAGTTTATTTTAAGATGATAACATTTGAAATAATAGTTCCTGTACAAATTGAAAACAAGATGTGGAATTAGACACAGATGGTCCACTCCCAAATAAACTATATTGTGAAAGTTTTCACAAGGCATTGTTACGTAAGATATGGAGAGCTGACATTTATGAAACAGCGGATTGTGTCTGAGACAAAATGGATGTTTCCATGAAACATGAAAAAAGTGTGCCTTTACATGTGGCTAAGAAGAGCTAGACTAGCATTACTTGGCCCAGGCAAGAGCTAAATTATATTCTGAAAGACGAGCAGTGAACTAGGTCAGAGACTGTAAACATATAGTAAGATTCTTTGAAGAGTAACTGGGTTCTTGTAGATTAGTCTTTATTAGTTTGATTTTGATTTATACTCTAAAGATGACATTTTTTCTCTCTTACATACCCAAGACCAGAAATAAAAAAGTTATGATAATGTGAAACAGAGATTGTAGGAAAATCATTTACTTAGGTTTGAGAAACCAAACAGTTCCTATTTATCAGATCTGGGATGTTCTAGAGTCCTTTATTACTCGTTTCCAACAAACGGCACACAATTTATTAAGTTCACTTTCCAGCATAAACAGGTATTACTGCTGAATATTTCACAAAAGTGAATGCAAGACTTTGTCAAATAGATTACCCCCCACCCCCCAAGTCTAACCTACTGAAAAATATTACAAAATGTTGGAAAATATTTTGTATAGTTCCACAGCTATTTAGAAGAAACATTAGGAAAAAAGACAACTATGCTCTCAATTTTGTTTTATATTTGCCATACTTCTTTGTACACAAAACCGACAAGGCTCGACTGCAAGAACAGTAAAATGTTTTCATCAATGAAAAAAGCACACCAAGCTTTAAAAAAAAAAAAATTGTTTACCTGCAGCATTTCCCAGTATGCCTAAATGTTTAGCTGTTAACTTATGACAACCAGAAAGCAAAAAATCAGGAAGTTATTTTTTTTGCCCAGACTTAAATAGTCTGAGATTAGAATAGATTATTTTTTAAATCTTGTTAGTAACAAAGATAAAGAACCAAGTGTGCCTTCAGCTAAGAATGTCCTTGTAAAGCTTTAAGACAATATTGTAGATTTAAAAGTTAGGATGACAGAAAAGTACTTGATAAACAGACAAGTGAGTCAACAGATTTTTCTGATTATATTCTCAATTTCAGTGTATAAAATTTTGACTCTCCTCACATTGGAAAAAAACATGACCTGGAATGAATAGATCAGTGATTCTCAACCAGGTTGCGTCAGCACCCTGGGGTTCCTTGAAATCTTTCCAAAGGTGCAACATTAGCACGGTTGTGTGTGCAAACACAATTCACAAGTTAAATCCAGAGATTTCAAATAGGAATTCATACTGTTAAAAGCATTCATGGTTCGAGTGCTTTGCAACAGAAGAATTGCTTTGTTCCTTTTCTGTAGTCAAAAAACGAATGAAAACTAATAGCTAGAATTTTCTGCTAATAGGGGTACCTTGAGTTTAGAAAGGTTGAGAACCGCTGGACTAGATTCACTCAAGAAGTGTTTCTAAGTAGCCTGTCTGTGATGTTCAGGCCCTTGTATTTGTGAAAACCTTTTTGCATCCTAGGGAAAAAAAATCCCTATACTTTTTTTCATATTTAAAAATCCAAAAAAAGGAGTAATACAAAAGCCTCCAGGGGAGATGGAAGGAAGACAATAATTTGCTAATATTCTGAAACTGAACAGAAATGCAAAACAGCAGCTGACTGTAGTGGTAAGGAGGACCTGTTTTATATTTAACTTTGCAATATGCAAGAAGAATGATAGCATCTTCTTTCAGACAGGTATATGCACCATGCTGTCTAGTTTGATTGGACATCTGAAGACCCACATCCAAGCCTCCTCTCTCATGCCCAAGTTATACTGATACAGGGTGTGTACAGAAGTGCTCCATGCATATTTTCCAGTGCTGTAATTTAGAGCACTTTTTCTAGCATTATAAAGGTGCAGTGCTTTTAAACATGACAGAAATGCAGTGTTTGGTGAAGGGGGAGGGTGGGGGGGGCTCCTCTGAGCCTCCCTGTACTTGCCAGGCTAGGTGGCAGGGGGCACTCAGTAGCCTTTGGGGGCTGCCGGAGACTGCAGACAGAAGCAAACCAGTGGAGAAGGCAGGGCTGGGATGAGAGGTGGTCACTCAGCCTCTCTTCCTACTCTAGGCAGAAGCTGGGACAGGCACTGCTTCTGCCACAGGCTGGGCAGCAGGTCTCACCCTGTACTGCCCAGGTGCTGGGTGCTGTGCTAGGCTCCGAGCCATGGCTGCTCTGGTTCTGTGGTCTGTGGGTATTTGATGAGTCCCCACCCTAACACACTGAGCCCCCATGCTTTCCTGACTTATCCAGGACCACCGAGGCCCTTCCCAACTGCACTGTGCTGGGAGGGAGTGGGTCCCCAGCCAGGCAGGATGGCATGGAGCTGGCGCCAATGCTCCCCTTCTGCCTGGGCTGTACAGAGCTGAACCTATTTCCTTCCCCCCAGCACTGCACAGCCCAGAGCCTGCCCTGGCTGCAAGCCCTGCTGGGCATCCACCAGCCTTCTGGGGTGGCAGGAGCTCCACAGTGCCTGGTGGCCCCCAGCACAGAGCCAACCCCTCCAGTTGCAGAGAGAGACATGCTGCAGGGAGCCAGAAGATAGCCTCCCCTCTCCTTCCATCCCCACCTCCCATCTGGCCCGATTGTTGCTGTCTCAGTGGGAGCAGGGTGGATTGCTGGTTTTTGCAGATTTGGCTACTGGGATGCTGGCCAGTGCACAGAAGTTATTTAAAGCTGTCGGGTGCTAAAGTGCCATAAAATACAGCACTTCAAATTTTATACCTCATTTAAGACGGGTTAATTTAAAGCGCTGTGTCCATTTTTGAAGTGCTGTAAAGCCCTGCACTTTTGTTAAGTCACAGCAATAAAGTGCTTTAAATGGTGAAAAAAGCAACTTCTGTACATGCCTGTAGTGTGCAACACACACATACATACATCAGCACAACAAAAAGGGTTACAGGAAATGCTTGCAAATCAAGTAAGTGGAGCATTTTGTTTAGAAATTACAACCAAAAAACAGCATCAGGGTAATCAAAATGAGCATGGCATCCAGACAATGAAAACCAGAGCACTTGTGGTATGCTTAGTCCATTAGACTGAAATATATAAACGCCAAAGGAGTGTGATGGCCTAGTCATGAGACAGTGGTGAAGTACTATCCCATGTGGGAAAAACACTATTTGTACAAAGATTAGCGGTGTCAGTAACAGAGGGATCTGCAAGCAACAAACACCCTCTTCAAATCAGGTCAGGGGAACTGGCAGTCCCTTTTATAGCCACGCTATCAAACGGGGAGAATCAGGGA